CCTAAGAAGACACTGGGGGTTGGTCCCATCTCGATTTTTGACAGAATTAAATGCACTGCCCCCGCACGGTACTAATAGTCGTAGTTTTGGTCCCGGTGCCCTTCACGGCACCACACCGCCGCTTGACAGCCCGAGATTAGCCTAGCAGTGAGTGGGCATCGCCTGCCGGTCGGCTGGGCACGAGCCAAGCACTTGGGTGGCCGTCGACCGAGTCCGGGCGGCGCCTGAGGTGGGTGCCACGGCGTCTGCACGAAGGCGTGGCGGGGTGAGGAGCCAGGAGTGGTGAACACCTCCCCGTCGGGCGCGCGACGCGCCGGATGGTCCGCCGAGGCCGCCGCCGCCCCGGCGGCGGCGATGGGGGCGGCGGGGCCGACCCGGCCGGCGTTTGTCGGCTCCACCTACAGAAGAGCAGTCTCTGTGGGTCGACGATACTAACTCGGTAGTAACGCGGAGCGGTGCTGTGCGGCGCCGAGTCGTGCGCGAGGCGACCTCCTGAGGCTACCTGAGCTGGCAATGGATGCCACCAGGACGCACGGCTAGCAGGAGCCAGTCAGGCATGCCCTGCTGTGGAGCAGAGCCGGCTGGCGCACCGGCGATACTAACTCAGCGCGCCGCGAGAGGCGAATCTGGGCGACTTTGGAGGCGCAGTTCTCGAGCTTGCCGTCGACGATTGATGTCGGGTAAATTGTCACTGCCGTCCGGGCAGGTCTTCTCTCAGCAGGCCGAGCGCCGTGGCTTGGCTCGGCTCGCCGCGAACGCCGCGAATTTATCGGACCAAAACTCACGACACCTCGATACTATTCAACAAAGACTACGATCTGGGGGTACTCGAAATTCTTCTTTGATCAGACGCTCTTGCGAGTCCTCCCTTGCGGGTTATCGGCTCCTATCTGCGAGAGTCAGACCAGCGGCACCGAGATCCCGTCGCACCCTACGGACGGTGCGTCGAGAAGGAGACAAACCCACAGAGAACGACGTACAGACAGACCAATTATCATCTGCGTCTGCACTCATCGACGCACGCCCGGGCATTTTGGGTTTGGGGTTGGGCATTTAAGCACTCCTCAAAGATCTGCGCCAGGTTATAGAACTCGGAGCAGTCGACTTGCATACAAGCGCTCTCGCACTCTGTGCTTGAGTCGACGAACAGCTGGCAGACGAACTGTTCCTGCTTCATGTTCACAAAGTTGGACGTCTCGGCCGAGACGTAGCCGGAGTAGTGCACACACGGGTGTCCCTCCCACGCCGTCTCGCCGTCACTGCAGTGCCGGTGTTCCTCCACCTTGAAGACGGAGATGCCCCACGCCTGATCGCCCTGCTCCGGGCCGCACGTCAACGTCGGCTCGAGCAGCGCGATGTTCTTGTGGTCCCATGCGCTCGAGACCAGCGCGTCCGCCTCTGCCGCATCGCCCTCGATGGTCTTCGCGAGGTGGTGAGGGAAATCGGTGAACTTGACCGCCGTCTGCGGGTAGTAGTTGAAGGCGATGTCGGCGATGAAGTGGGCCGCGGTATCGCCCTCCGTCTCGCTCGCCCCGACGTCGCGCTCCTTGATCACGACGTTGAGGTTCGAGCAGAAGCCGGAGGTGGCGATCAGCCAGGCGGGGTCGTCGACCACGTCGGGCACGGGAGAGGGCTTGGGCGCAAAGGCGAGGCCGCGAGCGGTTGGCTTGA